GCTGCCCAAAGCTAATCTGGTCTCCCCGGAGTCTGTGCTGCGTATTCTTAACCTTTTCTTGCATAATTAAGTTTCTCCATGCTGGCTAATCTTAGGCGCCTTCCTAAGGAAATTGTGTAGATTTGACACCCCAGATCAAACCTGTCCCTATAGAAATGGCTTAGTAATGCAGAGCATAGAGGAACTCATACCTTCTTTGATATAACCACTACTTACATTAAAGTGACTTAACATTAGCATTTTTAGCAAATGACATAACTGTCCTAGTTCATAGAGTGATTCTAATCAACTAAAGTCACAGATTTTTTTTCATTCGAACACCCGTATTTGTGGTAAACAAAAGACAAAACTTACAGTTATCCCTATTAGATTTAATTTCATTAGTATGCCATCTCATCAAGGTAATTTTCAAAATTTGGTTTCCTCACCTAGCATGTCCGCGTGCCCCTTGTTGCCTTTATACAGCACGGACGGTCTCTGATGGAGGTCCACAGGGCCCTGTCCTTTATTCTATTCGAACAGAATAAAGTTTTATAACTGGCTTAGGTGAAGGTAGGCAGAACAGCTCTGGGGGGAATACGTGCCATCATTGAAGGCACAGAAATGCCAGTTTTACCTTAAGAAATGAGATTGGTTAGAGAGAGGGCTGTTTTATATTTTTAAAAATCATGGCATAATATGGAAATCCATGTGATTTTCAGTTAGGACACAATAGTTCCGGGCAATGCCCCTCTCCTGGCAGTCACGGAGGACAACTGCCCTGGCTTCCCCAGGTGACCTGTTTACTGTCCCTTTCCACTCAGAATATTCTAAGGGACCTTGTCTGTTTTCAAGTCATCTGCAGAGTTAGAAAGCATATATTCATTCACTCATTTATAAAAATGCCAAACAAAATAGGGTATAGACATCTTACTGCACGCTTTGTTATGTCATTTAAAACCATTACAAAACATACTAGAAGGAGGCAACCCATTTTAGTCCAAGTCAAGACAAATAACAATTGCTGGCTGCTAGTTGATTTTCAAGCCGTTTTTTAATCTATCTGCCTAGTAACCTCATTTTAAAAAATATTAGTTTTTCAAAGCTTCTCCTTAGTTGTCATTTGTTGGCTGCTAATGACCATACCATTCATTTTTGCACGCTCAATTATGGCTGAAAATTCTGTTACCTCCTGAGGTGTAATTCCTCTGGCCTCAGTTTAAACATCTTAGTGTTAGTTGACTAATCTCCCATCTATTTTGGGCTGAAAATTCCCACTTTTCATAGTTTCTTCTTTATATTCAGTTTAAAAACACATCTAGAAAAGAGAAAGGGGAAAAAACCCAGCTGAATGATTTTGCTACTTCTCTAATATGCTTTCTGTTATCATCTCTAAGCAGTAGACTTATTATTTCCTTGTTCTTTTTAACTTAGAGAAAACATGCCTTATAGTTCCTTAGTCAACCTTATCATTTTTTTATTCTTAATTTATTGGGAGCCTTAATTTAAGACACTTTTATAAATAGATTCGCTGCATTTTTACATTCATCCTTAGTTACTCTCTCTTCTTTATATCCTTTATACAGGTGTTTGAAATTTTAGATTACTAGGCAGCCATTCAACTTACCTAAGCTGTCTCCCATTTCATTTGAATTATTTTGCAATTATTCCACTAGAAGTTTTGTTGTTTTTTAATCTCCTTTTGTTAGTCACGATCCCTTTTTGAGACTCAAGCCCATGGGTCAAGAACTGTTATTCTTTTGAACTTTTAATGAAAGTTTGCCGAAGTCCAGCGTGCTTGTCTGATCCTGGAGCCCAGGGTTCGCCCTCCTGTCCATCGTAAACTCTTAGCTTGGAGTTCTCACTAATTTTGTACATCACAGCACAACACCAGTGAGAGTCTCCCATATGACACACCCTCATGCATAACCCAAATTTCACAAACCTGAGGAATATTGTGTCTGAAAGTAAAACATTGGAATCTCATTTCATTGTGGCCTATATTGACTCTCCACAATGACATGGTGACACTAACAGACAAGCTGCTGATTAAGTAGAATTCCATGTCACTTCCTGTAAGAATGTAAGAGCAATGACATTGTCCAGATAACCTTGACTACATGCAAATGTATGTGTTTTTAGAAAGTAGATGGTTTACAATTTTACTTCTTTTACTATTAGTAACAAATTGCTTGCAACTCACTTCCTGTGCCAAGAGAAGTTAAAGATGACAAAGGTGCTTTCTCCCCTCCACACCACCAACTGGCTTTTCCTCATTGGTCAAAACTAAGCCAAGCCTTACTCAGTTTGAATTATGAGCACAGTCAGTAATTCATTTCATTAGGATGGTCCAAGTCGTCTTTCCTGACAAAAACAGCCTGCCTTGTAGAATTTGGGTGCCATTTGGCTCCATCTGTCATCTATGATGCTCTCCCACAGACATATATATTATTTAAAATGTGCTAATATTTTGGCAGTTTCTATATAAGCTTTTAAAATATGGCAGTGAGATTTCACGATGACTCTAGAAGAAATGCAAGTTGTTGCAGTCCTTAATTTAAAATAAGTTGAGCATAACTTGAAGCTAAATAAAACATTGCTTGCAAAAGGTATTTTTCTAAAAAATCCTAACAATGAATACTGAATTAAAGACTTAGATCGCCCTGGCTGGTGTGGCTCAGTGGATTGAGTGCTGGCCTGTGAACCAAAGGGTCACCAGTTTGATTCCCAGTCGGGGCACATGCTTGGGTTGCAGGCCAGGTCCCCAGTGGTGGGCATGCGAGAGGCAACCACACATTGATGCTTCTCTCCCTCTCTTTCTCCCTCCTTTCTCATCTCTCTACAAATAAATAAATAAATAAAATCTTTTTAAAAAATTAAGAACTGTTAGATCATTTGATGGGAGCACCAAGGACAAACAGGCTGGAAAGGAAAGGAAATTCTACAGAACAGGGAAATTTGTGAGTCCCAAGCAAGCCATCCATCCATGCTGGTCTTCTTCTAATATGCAGATTATGGGCAAACTAGAATTCCTTTTTCTTTTAAATGAAGAGCCATTTGAAATGAACATTTTTTTCATTGTCCAGCTACTTGTATTACAATTTCCATAATGTGTTATATTAAAGCCAATCTATTTCTTAAAAAATATATAAGTTTCCTTAGAACTTGCTTCTCAGAACATTTAAGGATCCTGACACACCTTCATAAATGTGTTATATATTCTAAAACCTTCAATGTAAAGGGAATGTCATTTCTAGTAAAGGTAATGAAAACTTTAAAAAAGCTCAATTTTTTAAATTGAATTTATTGAGGAGACACTGATTCATAACACCGTACAGGTTTCATGTGTACAACTTGACAAAAAATCATCTGCACACTGCTGTGGGGCAACTTCTCTCACAAGTTCCCCCCGGTGCCACGGATACACGTGAATGAATAAATATGGCCAAGAGGTGCTGGATCTGCTTGGGGAAGGAGGGGTGGGCTGTGGCCAGTTTCTCTGGGGAGACAAAGGCCAGCAGCAGCCAGTTTCTCCAAGGAGAAAAAGGCCCCAAGCGCCTTTCTCCATAGCCTTTTATTGAGTTGTAATACACAGGAGTACAGGGCGGCAAGGATCAAACAGTAGATAACATTACAAAGAGATCTGAGTCAGTGTCTGTCAGGAAGACAGTGTCTTCCTTCCATGAAGGCCTCCCAGGTGATGGAGTCTGGCTTAGGTTGCCCCCCTCCCCCCCCCCGCTGTGAGGGGTCTTACCCGTCATTGACTTCGGACCAAGCTCTGGGGGCAGGGAGAGGAACTGAGGCAGCGTTTGCTACCAGAGACAGGCTTTGTCTCCTGCGGCTGGCATTCCAAAGGTCGTCTTTAGTCTTTAGCCACAAGGGGTAGAGATACAATTCCTAAAACCAGGCAGAGCGGTCTACTACACACTGCATCATGCACAGAAGTAAAAAGCAAAGTCTCTTTCTGTCCCCATTTTCCAGCCCTTTGCCCACCTCCACCTACCCCCACCCACCTTTACCTCTGGCTGTCACCACACTGTTGTCTGTGTCTGTGTGTTATATGTGTGTATGTGTGTGTTTGGGTTAATCCTTTTGCCCTCTTTCATCCAGGTCCCCAGGGCCCTCCCCTCTGACACTGTCAACCTGTTCCACATACCCATGCCTCTGTTTCTATTCTGCTCATCAGCTTATTTTGTCCCTTGATTCCATATACAAGTGAGATCACATGGTATTTGTCTTTTAAAGCCCCTTTCCTGTCTAGTCATGTGATGAATACACTGAAGCTGCTCTTTCAAAATGTTAACACATCCTTTATTGGATCTAAAAAGACTTCCAAAGTTTGCCCTTTATCCAGGAAGTCAAAATATAATGTGGCCAATAGAAACAGCTTAGATGTGGTCTTTGACTACCTGAATGTCTTCAGGCAAAGCAGAAGGGGGAAAAGAAGAAAAGAGTGGGAAGAAAAGAAAAGAGACAGTGAGAAAATAAGAGTAAATATCAAAATAGTAAAGAAAAGTGGTTTTAAAATGAGCACTTGAAAGACCCACACAATGTGTTAGCAAATGTATTAAGTGCAAGGTACTATTTTTTTAAATGGCTTCACTATTGATCATGTCCTCTTTTTAAACTATTTTTTGCTAATAACTGTATTTCTAGGGACCAGGGAAATATTGGATACAACTATATAATGTAGTCACGCAGCGTGGTACGTGCAATCCTGTACTGCTCACTCTCGTCCACTAGGTAAGGGCCACACCAAATGCCATAAGGCACTTCGAACTTGAATGAACATCAAGGCTTAGCTGGTCTCACTAATCTTTCCTCATTGCTCCGAATCTATGTTTTAAAAATTCAGACTTCACTCTTTGACAATGATTTTCACATGAATTTACTTTTAAGAACTAAAACATTATCCTAAAACATATTTCTAACTTGTTAAGCATGGCTCTAAAAATTATTTCTCTGCACATCTTCTGCAAAACAACATCAAGATCATTTGTCCCTTCAGTTCAGAGGTCTGACTGTAGTTTTTTAAAACACAATTAAAATCCCTCCATTTGTGATTTTTATGGAGGATGTGAAAGTCTGTCTAAAAGTTATCTAAACAAACAGTCAAATATACCCTCAGAGATGCCATTTTTTGGAAGAAACTTTGTGGGTTCTGGTGTGCCTGAGCTATAAAACCTTAGGAATAATACTCTGGTCTGGAACCCTTGTTTTTAAAAGTCATCCGTGATTCCACACTCGACCCAGAACAAAGCAGCAATTTTTCTGAATCATCTCTGTGCCCTCGTGTCCAAAGCTCCCCTATACTTTGAGACCTCGGGGACAGAGTTTCAAATTGGATATAAGTCTCTTTTGCCAAATCCTCTTCCCAGAAGGGTTCTGATTTACACTGCAGTTTGCAAACTTTGTACAGCAGGAAAAAAATCAATGGCAAGACAACAACACAGGCAGTACCGCTCACCACAATAAGGACAGGCCCGGGAGAATGACCTTCTTCAACTCTGTCGGTAGAAAAAGTGATACACTGGTCTTTCTGGGGAGGCACTCCTTTTGGAGAGACACATGCTATGTATTGCCCACCTGGCTCCAAGCCCTCAATGGTTATTTGGTTGTTGCTGGAGTCTGCATTCAGCAGCAGCAGGTCCTCCTCACCATGCTTGGAATACAACACGGTCATCTCAGGGTTATGCGTGATGTTAACAGTGTTCCACATCAAGGTCACACTCTCTTTGGTCCCACTGACTGCTCTGAGATTTTCGACTGTGGCATTCGTCTCCATAGGCATTGCTCGATCCAATAATGCCAGCTCTTCTTTTTTACTTGCACTATCTGGGGGAAGCTTACTTCCACCCATCTCCACCTTTAAATTTCTTTTCCCATCTGGATGGAGCTGGAGTGACTGCCGACTGACCATAGCGGTGCTTGTTGAAATCCTAGTACTTAGAGTTGTAGCTGAAGAAACAGTGGAGGAAAAGAAAGGAGATAAGGAGAAGGAAGCATCAGCAGAAGGAGGTGAAGTAGAAGTAGAAAGAAAAGTGGAAGAAGATGGAGAGAAAGAAGAGGAGGAAGAAAGCCAGGGGGATGGCGGAGAACCAGGTACGGACATAGACCTTCTTGATCCCGGCTGAACTTCTCGCTCAGGGTGACCTCCAGGTCTTCTCTCAGCAGTGTCTGGTGCCACGGTGGTTGTGACAATGCCAACGACTGTCACAGTAACCACAGCTTCTGAGATCCCAGCCAAATTTTTGGCCTTGCACGTGTAATCCCCAGCATCCTTGTAAGAAATGCCTGTCAAGCTTATTATGGACCATCTGACTCCTTCCTTAGGAGATTCCTGAATTACTGGAAGAAAAAAATATATAACTCTGAAGTGGGAGGAAGGAAAAATCAACATGCCAGCTGAAAAATAAGCAACTATTTGGTTCTACAATCATTTCTTTCCCATAAACCAAGAGGGAAATGGCACACCACAAATCCCTGATGGCAGACGGTGCCATTGCCCACGTGAAGGTCTAGGTCATGCCAGGTGCTGTGAGAACTATATGGGGAATGGTATTGTGAAAAGACATGAAGCTGTGAATTGGGAGACTTGATTTTAGTAAACTTTTGTCCAATAAGTCATACGTAACTCAGATAAGTCAGTGTCTTTAGGCCTCTGTTTCTATACTTTTAAAATTAGAGGATAAAACAAAAGTGATCTCAAAGATCCCTTCTAATTTTAATACACTGTGGTCCAATACAATGTTTATCACAAGACCTTGATTAAATATTTCCCCAAATATTTAATCTTCATTGTAATAAAATGCTATCTATCAACAGAGGGCACAGTAGGTCATTTTCCGGCCTGGAGAGGTCATCATTTGTATTTTTAATCTTTCATTTTATATTCACTTTATATGAATTAATAAGCCATGGATTCTTTTATTTGCAGAATAATATATGATCCCGGGAAAGTTGGCATTTTGCCTTCCTAAACACTAAAATGTAACATACGTCCATCCTGTCTTGATTTCTGAAGCTTTCTGGAGAATAACAATACACGCAGCAGCAACCCAGTTGCCCCAGATTTAACTCGCTGCTGCAAAGAACCATTTATGATCTATCTGTAGGCATATTAGGCCTTGATTTTCTATTACATCAGATTTCATTATTTGAACTTTGATTGAAGTTAATTGTGAAGAGTTTAAATATATTGCTCTAGTCATCAGAATATCACTACTGAAACAGAGGCCAAAGCACTGCCTTGGTTGCAGTAGGATCTGAAAAGTCTATGACACCAGCATTTCTAAAATTGTACTTTTTGTTTCATAATAATGTTTGCATGTAATTATTTAAAGAATCATTTTAAAATAAGAAACTGGCATGAAAATCCCCTCTGCAGAAGTTGTAATGGCTGTAGGATTTAATGTGAGCGGATCCAAGAAGACACAGCAAGACAAGGGCCTTGTGGGCAATCCCTCGTGCCCTGGGTCATGTTATGTTGTTTTCTAAGAAAAAAATCAGATTTTCTAATTTCATCTATGCAATCAGTCAGATAAACAGAAAAATATTAACCAATCAAATGACCTTTCAAATCCCTGTCACCTAACAATCTTAGCATATTTTAATAGAAGTAATCAGCCAATTGAAAATCTCCCCAATTCCTCAAGTTAAATACAAATCTTTGAAATCTCCTTGTTTTAACATAGGCTGAATTAAGAAAATACCTGTGTAATTAACTGGCGAGCTGTCCGGTCTGGTCCACGTGAGCTGTGGGGTGGGGTAGCCTGTGGCATCACACCGCAGCAGGACGTTGCTGCCCAGAGCTGACGTGATTTGGGTGGCCGAGGCCATCACCGACGGCTTCAGGCACTGATCCAACACGGCCCGCTGAAATAAGACCCCTGCCAGGCTCTCGGGCTCGCTGCAGACCATCAGTGGATCAAGAAGTACTATGGAAGGGTCAGCCACTTTGGACATCTCCATCACTTTGGAAATGTGACAGTCACAGAACCAAGGGTTGTCTTGCAGACCTAGAGGGAGGAAACCAGAGGGAGGAAAAGGCTGATGAATTTATTCTCATGGCTTCCACTTACAGCGTCTTGGAGAAGCCGGTGTCCACACGATCTCCTGAAAAACAGAAGGACTCTCGGGGATGAAACAGAGTCACCTCTCTATCGGGTTTGCCCTGCAATTCAGCCACCAGAACGAAAAAATCCTGCCGGTTTGTATCGTTAATGATCACAGCTAACCGTCACTGAGCACTCACTCTCTGCTTTGTTCTAAGCATTTACATGTTTTATCTCATTTAATCCCAACAACCTTATGAGGAGGAGAGTATTCTTATTCTCGCACTTTTTTTTAATCCTCAGCCAAAGATATCCTCATTGATTTTAGCGAAAGAGGAAGGGAGAAAGAGAGATACATCGATGTGAGAGAGAATCAGCAATTGATTGGCTCTCATTTGCACCCAAACAGGGGATCAAACCCACAACCTAGGCATGTGCTCTGCCTGGGAATTGAACCCACAACTGTTTGGTGTAGTCGACAACATTACAACGAACTGAGCCACCTGGGCACGGCTATTTCCATTTAAAAGGTAAGAAAGTCAAGGCACAAAGAAACCAAATAATTTGACCAAGGTCACATAGCTAATTAGCATCAGAGCCAACATTTGAATCCAAGTACCTCAGCATGCAATACAGTGATAGAGATATTTCTCAGGTGCTGTTGACGTGCTTATATTATTATAGGTATTATAGGGTGCCAAGAGCACCTTACACAGTCTGCACTGAGTCATGATTTTGTGTGATCTGAAGACACTGAAGTAGTGTAAGTTCTGTGCAGCAAAAGCATTGAGTGAGATGCAGGCAATGTGAGGAGATAAGATTGGGAAGACTGGCAGAGGTTAGAACATAGCTTGGCATGAATGTCATACATGGGGCCATGGAGGTGCATGTTCAAGTCTCTCCTCCAGAGAGAATCAGCAGCCAGGAGCAGAGCTGGCTGACAGCCTCTAGTTGCAAGTGCCTTCAGGGTCTGCCTCAGCTTTCAGAGTTCTTAGCTGAAATGTTTTGGCCTAGTGCGAGCTTAAAGGAAAGTGAGGAAAATGCTACTGAAAACTAGAGGAAAGGGGACCCTTGTTATGGAACAGCAGAAAGTTTAGCAACACTGTGGTTAACATGGAAAGCAGAACACATACTCAATAAGACAAATATTCTAGCTAAGGATATTGCCATGGAGTTCGGAACTGCTGCCTGGTGTCTTCTTGCTGCTCATAATAATATAGAAGCAGAGGTCCCCAGCTTTTTGGCACCAGGGGCCGGTTTCATGGGAGACAGTCTCCCCACTGATGGTGGGGAGGAGGGAGGGGATGGAAGGGGGACAGTTTCAGGATGATTCAAGCGCATTACCTTCAAGCTCACCTCCTGCTGCACAGCCCGGCTCCTAAAGGCCCGGACTAGTACTGGCCCCCGGCCTGGAGGCTGGGGACCCCTGAATTGTGATATATATAAAAGAGCCCAAACTTGCTGGGTTCAGTACTGAAACTGTTGCAGTATGGAGGCTCCTCAAAAAGTTAAAAGTGGAGCCCTGGCTGGTGTAGCTCAGTGGATTGAGCACAGGCCTGTGAACTAAAGCATCGCTGGTTTGATTCCCAGTCAGGGCACATGCCTGGGTTGCAGACCATATCTCTAGCATGGGGTGTCCTAGAGGCAATCATACATTGATGTCTCAGTCCCTCTCTTTCTCTCTCCCTTCCCCATCTCTCTAAAATAAATAAATAAATAAAATCTTTTTAAAAAATTAAAAATGGAACTGCCTATGACCCAGAGTTCCACTCCTTGGTACATCTGTGAAGAAATCTGAAACACGAATGCAAAAGAATATATTCTGAACAGCTCTGTGTTCACTGCAGAATTATCTATAACAGCCAAGATACAGAAGCAGCCCACGTGCCCACCAGTAGACCGTGGGGCAGCCCTGGCAGGTCGGCTCAGTTTGTTGGAGCATCGTCCTGTACACCAAGAAGGTTGCAGGGTTGATCCCCAGGGGGGCAACTGATCGATGTTTCTCTTTCTCATTCTCTCCCCCTTTCTCTTTTTCTAAGATCAATAATAAAAAAATCCTCAGGTGAGAATTAAAAAATAAAAATACTGTGAGGTGTGTGTGTGTGTGTGTGTGTGTGTGTGTGTGATGGAATATTACTCAGCCATAAAAAAAGAATGAAATCTTACCATTTGCAAAAGCATGGACAGACCTGGAGGGTATTGTGCTAAGTAAAATGAGTGAGACAGAGAAAGATAAATATCATATGATCTCACTTGTATGTGGTATCTGAAGAGCAAATAAACTAACAAACAAAATAGAAACAGACTCATAGAGATAGAGATCGGACTGATGGTTGCCAGAGGTAAGGGCAGTTAGAGGCTAGATGAAAAAGATGAAGGGATTAGGAAGTGCAAAGTGATAGTCACAAAATAGTCATTGGGATGTAAAGCACAGCATAGAGAATATAGTCAATAACATCGTAATAACTACATACAGTGCCAGGTGGGTTCTGGAAATATCGGGGGAACACTTTGTAAAGTATATGATTGTCTAACCACTATGCTCTACACTTGAAACTAATACGAAATAATATTAAGTGTGAACTGTAATTGAAAAATAAAAAAGAAATAAAAGTTTTTTTTACTCCAAGCCTTTCTAAAATTCCCAAATTAAGAAAGTGCTTCAGAGTGAAACTCAAATCCAAGGTGGGTGGGAATATGAACACATTTGCTAAGATCTCAGGTGGTTCTAAAATGATGCTTCAGAGCCTTCAGTCAGACAAATGTCTCTAAGGAACTTAGGGTGGTGTCCCAGAGCAGCTTCCCATAAATGCCAAGGTTGGAAAGATTTACCTCAGAAAAATCTGTGGTCATGGCTTTTTACTAATGGAGTGGATTACACAGTGATTCCTAAGGAGAAAAGACAGAATTATAATTTTAAATATTCTAAGAAGATTTAACTGTTCATTTGTAAATTCTACATTTCTATTTAACTAAAGATTTAACCATTCAAATGTAAATTCTACATCTCTATTTAGGCCTGTTTTTATTATAATAGCACTTCATGACTGGTTCAGATGTTGGTAAACATTTACTGCCTTTTTAAAACAAAATCTTCTCTTAGAAATCCCTTTTCTTTCACAGTGCATTACCGTAGACTTCTTCCTCTTACATGAAATCCATGACTGGTTCCCTAATATTGATTCGAATCCTAGCCAACCTGCCAACAAACATCGAATTCATTCTGTAATAATTAATATGTATAGAATACTTTATGCTTTCAAAGTGTTTGTTATTCCAGATTTTTTCTTTGTCAGGTAGTAACAATACAAGTTGTCATTTATTGTTGCAAAGACTGTACTTGTCAAGAATTGTGAAAGGTCTGAGTTTTGCCCTACTCTAGGCAACCAGCTCATCCCAGTTTGCTGGTTTTATAGACGTTGGCAGGAGACACAGACTCCCGGCCAGAGAGGTAGGAGAGTTTCGTACTCGCAGCTCTGGAGGGAGACATTGTCTGTACTACACTGGGCAGTAAGCATGCCTACCCTTTGCTCTGAAGGGGGACATACCTCTGCCTCCCAAAGCAGCTCTATGCACAAACATCCTTGAAAAGATAGTTTAGAACAAAAAGCAGTCAGAGCCTGCCTCTGCTCTGAAGACGTGCAGAGATGTGGGAGACCACGGAAAACTGTCTCCCAAGAGCGCTAATCATGCCAAAGGGTTTGTCTACCTCAATCCTGACAATAGCACCAGGAGGATAATATTAGTATCAACCTCACTTTAAGAAGGAGAAAACCAAGGCTCGGGAAGGTAAGGGATCTGCCCAAGGTCACACAAGAGGATGCGGTCAGGATTTGAGCCTCACTATCTTGCTCTTAAAGCTTTCCTTCTCTCCCACTGTGTATGTCTTACACTGACCTCAGGGAGCTCCTGTGACTTTTCCAACTTCACGCCAAAGGACATTAGAGCACAAAGAGATTACTGTCTCGACTTCATGAGAAGCCCTAAATCCCGTATGTTGTAGCCTCCTAATCTAATACCCTTTCTACGGTAACTCACCTCTTCATCACCCTAACGCATCCACAGCCACGGGGGGCAGTGAGAAGGGCTATTGTGGACAAAGAACAGAAGTCGAAGCAGTAGTGTCTGGAGCAGAAAGTCTTTACAGAGAAAGAGCCGTGTGCCATCCGCCATGAACAGTTCCATTCAGGCTTTGAAACTGTTATCAAACTGTGGTAACAATGAAGCAGAACTCTTAAAAAACTAATTTAACTTTTTATATCTAAAAGTCATGTAAACCAGGAAAATATTTTTAAATCCCTCAAAACTAAACTGTGCATTTTTTCCAGCTTTGAACCATCTAAGGTCAAGGTACAACTTTTAAAGCCTGGATGACAGTAACCTGAGTGCTGAACACATTCGTCTCCTGTTTTTTTCTTCTGGGGACAAAGGTACAAGAACTCTCTGAAGTTAAAGTGTTACTTCTGCTGCATTCCTTCAAAGCGACAGGCCAACCGCAGTCTCAGTAATCTGCATTAATTATTTTACATGACTATTCTTACTGAGGGCCGGATGAACTTGGCCTTATCCCCTTTCTAAAAGGGTAATGTTTTCCATGCATCACAGCAGTAGGATTTAGAGGGCTAATTTTGGGGGAAAAGTCAGCAATAAATTCCTGTACAAGTTATTCTGCAAACTCAAGCTCTCAAAGGTGAAGACCACGCCTTAGTCAGCTTCGGGGAGGCAGCGGTGTTTAACAACTCACGGGGGAAAAGAAAATCATTCTGCAAACGGTGCTGGAACGACACACACTTGCTCCGAAGAAAACAACCTCAACCCCTACTTCACACTATACTCAAAACTATTTTGAGTTGGATCTTAGTCATAAGCATAAAAACTAAGAATAAAGCTTAAAAGTTAAAACTATAAAGAGAGTAGAATACCTCTGTGACCTGTAGGTAGGCAAATATTTCTTACATGGGAAA